TTTGATAAACTGCTCTCTTGGAGTATTAAATGTGCCAGCGTTGCCAAAATTAAGTGAGCTTAATCTAAGTGAATGTTATTTGAAATCGTTGAATCTATGCCAAACACCTTTAAAACAACTAGTATTAGATGATTCCACAATAGAATCAGTATGCATACAAGATACTAAAGAACTAAGCCTTTTGCTTTTTCGGAAATTATCTTTTGAATCCCTAAGCATTCAACAAGTCGCTAATCTAAAATTTTTATCAATATCCGACTCATCTTTTAAACAGTTAGTCCTGCATGATGTATCTAATATAGAGAACATGGTTTTAAATATCTGCACATTTGAATCAATAGAATTCTGGGGTGTTTTGAATGTGCGGCGTCTTGGACTGATAGACTGTGATCTCTCCAAGGCTGGGACCATTTGGAAGAGTCTAACAACGTTGGAGTCTCTGAAGGAGCTATCTGTTAAAAACTGTAGAGGAGTCTCAGCAGTTCCCTATGAAATTGGTAAAATCAAAGGACTAGAAAAGCTAACACTTGATTTAAGAGATCTTGAAACGATCACTTTTCAAAGATGTACTTCAGAAGCAGAAAACGGCACGCCACCAGTCGAAGAGTTTAAATTCCCCGAAACGCTACAGGAATGTAGGATCTTTGTAAAAAAAGGCCTTGTGCAAACTATTATGTGTTGGTGGCTTCAAAAGTTGCTTACCCTGAAGTCAGGACAAGTTCTACCAAAACTAATCATTAATGATGTGGAATGTTGTGGTATTGCAATGCATTGAATTTTGCAGTTGAATAAAAGTTAACTAAAAACTAGTTGTTATAGATTATTTTGGTGTGTAAAAAATGAGTGACGCGTATAACGCCAGCTCCTCCTCAAAGCCAGCTTTTCAATCAACTTTCTGGTTGGAAGGAATGTGACTGCAGTGATTTCATTTAACACAAAATATTAGAATAATAACCAAAAACACTAATAGGCTTTTATTTAATTCTTAAGCTACTCTTCGGGATCTGCAATTCCACTCTCCGTGATTGCAAACACAGCTTCGAGCTCAGGAAGACAGGGACTGTCGTAGATCTTGCATATTCTCGTGTTTCCCTTGCCCTTTCTGAAATACAGTCTTGTTGTAGATGCGTGTGCAATAATGTTACCTCCGATGGGCTTCTTAGGGTCTGCATTAAACATGGCTGTTGTGCCATCCACTGTGGCCACCACCTGGTTTGTAATAACAACAGCCACACCATAAGTCTCTGCAAGATTGGTGAGGGTTCGAAGAAATCTGGCCAGGTGAATCTGCCGTGCTCCGAGCTCGCCTCGTCCATTATAGTCCGTTCTATACAGGGCTGTGGCTGAATCCACAATCAAGACAGCATATTTATTTTCGGACATCATGGCTGATGCATGTATCAGAAGATTATTCTGATGGTCCGAGTTATATGCCCTGGCATAGCTAATATTCTCCAATACAGTATCTGGATTGAGCCCTAGTCTCTCGGCTATAGGTATAAGCCTTTCAGACCTGAAAGTGCCTTCTGTGTCGATATATATGCACTTGCCTGCTCCTCCGCCATTCTCTACTGGCAACTGGCAGGACACTGCAATGGTGTGGCATAGCTGGGTCTTGCCTGTCCTAAACTCTCCAAATATTTCTGTGATACTTCCACTCTCAATTCCTCCATGGAGAAGCTTGTCTAGCTCAACACTGCCTGTACTGACGTAGCACACCTCAGTTCTCTTTGCATGGTACTCAGTAGCCGATGTAAATCCCATCGGAACTAGCTTTGCTGCCTCTTTTATTATCTTGTCGACTTTTACATCGCTAAATCCTTTCACCTCAAGCAGTTCTTTTCTGGGTGCAAAAGCCAGACTCTGAACAGTGTTATATCCTGCCTCCACAAGCTTGGTCACATCTGAAGCACTCACGCCGACACTCTTTAGTTCCTCGATTGAGATGTATGAGGATCTTTCGTCCATATTCATGTTCATATTCATTCCTAGGGCTGTGCATAAAACTTTTTTGTTAGAAGTAGAGACCAAGCAATTAAAATACACCAGTGGCATAAAACCAAGAAGCCTATAACGTGACAGTATCTGGCCGTCACTAAAATATATCCCGCACATAGCAGCGTCTGATTAAACACGGCCATTTGTTTACCTTCATCCAAGTGTTGATGATACTTAGTTAGATAGTGGCTGCTGATTTCAATATTTAAAACGTAAAATTAACAATTACTATGTGTATCAGTGATAGCAATGAATATAATTTAATTACAACACTAAATTCATCTTGCTACAAAAAATAGCTTGGCCGGGAAATGTCTATCCCCATGTCCTTCAATGCCCTTTCAAGATCTTGAACTTGAAGCGTAATCTTCTTTTCTCTGCCAAAACGCTTGTCTTTCTGTGCAGCTTTTGAAAACATCTTGTGGTACTGAAATGCAGCCACGGAAACATCTGTCAGAAACTTGTGCGACATGAGAGCAACAGTCTTTTTAACATCCGCATCAAGTGTTTCTACCCCACACTTCTCGCAATATGATTCTATGATGCTATCTGGAATCATTGGCGTGTAGGAAGAGAGCTGCTTCTTAAACTCATTGAACTCGGAGTCCTCCATGGGCTAAGATCGAGGCCAAAATAAGAAAGCATGGTAATCATCTAAAAAACAGGTCACAAATCAAAGGCCTACGTCATATATGCACAAAGACTAAACTCCAAACAATATCCAATGCTGGAAAGCATGGCAGAGGTGTTTGCTAGGTATGTGGCCATTTATGTACAACCAAGCATTAAATATCAAGAGCCACTGCAGTTTAGTATATAACTTGATTCTAGATCAGATTTCTGTCCCCTCTATTATCATACAAGAATTTCACAAACTCCTTCAGCTTAATCCCTGTCACTCTGCTCAGCTCATCCTCAATATAGTAGTTCCTCATGTACTTGGAAATGAAAGACTGGGTCCTGCCTTGCGTAAGATTGACTATTGTTTCAATTTCTTTTTCCTGAAGTACAAAGTCGTCAAAGACGAATTTTACAAACTCGCGTCTCTCGTCAAGCGTGGGAACTGCAAATCTTGTTTGATTGCCAAATCTTCTTTTAAATCCGTCATCAAATACTTCAAATCTATTTGTGGCACAAAACACAAAGATGGGCCGATATTTATCACTGGGACGCACGCCAATCCTTTGCAGAAGCTCAGACTTTAGACCCGATGTTGTCTCACCCATGCTGGTATCGGCATTTCGCTTTGAAAAGAATGCATCACCCTCATCGAAAAACAGAAACACAGCCCTCCACTTCTCCTCCGACAGCTTCTTGGCATAGTCAAAAAGCAAGCTGACATTTTTTTCTGTATCTCCATACCATTTGCTATTTATGATGCCTGGCGCCACCTCACAGAAGTATATCCTGGACGGTGCCATCGATAGATATGTCTCCTTTACCGCCTCATTACTCAAAACCTGTCTATACAATTCGGGGTTCTCTTCAGCCAATGCTTTCAACTTCAGGTATTTGTCGATCTGCGTCGCTAAATAATGTACGAAAATTGTCTTTCCTGTTCCCGCCGGCCCTTCTAACAAAAAATTAAGCTTCGTAAATGCGTTAATCTCGTCCAGCTCTTCTCGGCTCAAATTTGTCAATTCCTCAATATACCGTTTTATAAGTCCATAAAACACATCATAGTCCTTTTTTCTTCCACAATACTTGTTGAACTTAATCTGATTGCCAGTTTTGAATTCAAACTGGCCTGCAACAACAGTGCCATCCTTATTTGTCTGAGAAGCTGCATTCTGTATTCCTAAGCTTACGTTAGACTGTGCCCCCTGCTGGTTCTGTGCGGTGTTGGTCAAGGGAGTGCTATCTTTTTTCGAGACAAGCGAATTAATAAACGATATAACCGCAATGACGAACAGTATTACAAACATTGTGTTCATAACTCCAAAGCCAGATTTCTTTTCACTTTTTGAGAGCTTTTCATCGTCTAAACTTTTAGAAAATGCATATTTTATCCGCTTATACACTATTGCTGCAACCAAATCGAACGTCTTGTCTTCGATCAGAATCTCGTTTCCGTATTTCTTAATTGCTGATTGAATTAGCATATTTTCCTTCATAAAGAGCGATTTAAAATTCTTCTGCTCTTCATCAATGGGCTTGAAGTCTCAGTCATGGGCAAAATTTTTGAAGGATCTTTCCTATGAAAAGGTGTTTAAGATAGAATACAAAAAAAAGCTTGCATTAATAATGTATTTTGATCATTGGCATGCAGCTTTCATACGGTTGCACATTAGCGTGGCAGGGCTTAGTTGTAAAGCTGGCTGTAAAGCTCTAGTGCCTGCTCGTCAGAATATGTCTTTTCGTAGAATGGATACTGCACCATTTTTCTGATGTACTGCTCGACCTCCACCGGCGTCTTGGCCATAGTAAAAAGATTGACAATATTAAACCTGGAGTTTGTTAGAATCTTATGGCTCTTGTTGAATTTGATGTACCGAAATATACCACGGTACTTCTCGTAATCCTTTGGATTGAACCTCAGGACCTCCATCCACTGCATCATTTTTTCCTCAAAATTTCTCTGATTAAAAAGCTTCCTGACGATTTTTGAGTTTTTAGGTGCATCGCTGGTGCAGAGATTAAAGAACACTGTAGACTTTTCTCTTGTCTTTTCGCTCCCAACCTCATGTGGCCATTTGTATTCGTAATTCTGGAGAATTGGAAATCCAAGATTTAGCAGTAGCGACAGGGCACACAGATCTCCGCTGTAGCAGCTGTAGTGGAGCGGTGTCTCTCCGTTAAACGACTGCATTTCTCTGAAGTCATAGCGACTCAGAATTAAAAACAAGTTTTCTTCGTTTTGCACAATAAAACTTAATCTGCTCAAGGGCCCAGCTTCAGGCATAGCCTCCAGTATGTCTTTGATCATCCCTCTATCCTTGTTCATACACGCAAAGTCCAAGGGAAACAAGGGAAGTTGATCAAACGAGTCTTTCAGGCTGATGTCTCTGTATCTTTGAAGTAGCTCATATTGTCGATATGTGATAAAATCTAAGTGGCTGTTTTTAGGCAACGATCTGGACTTGTAAGCTGAAATTAAAAATGGCGTTAGCCCATTCCATCCGATGCTGTACCTGACTTTGTGTTCTAGAAACAAATCCAGAATCTGGTTTGAGCATGTGCATGCCAGCAGAAAATACGATGGCCAGTTTTCTGAGCCAAATATGCTCTGGTTAACATTTATAAGTTTTAACTGAAGGAAGTACTGCACAATTTCAGGCCTTGAATGGATCATTGCAAGTAGCAATACTTGGTTAGCCTGCTTTGTGAGACACGGTCTAACTTTTGGATTGATTGTATACTGTGCTTTGTAAATTATTGCTTTTTTCATTTTGTATACCTCAAAGGTCCAATCAAGAGTGTATTTGGATGAAAGCATTGTGTTTGGCTCGGAACGCGCACTGTCCATAATACCATTTTTTAGATAAAAAGCCGTCATCTCCTGAAGATTCAAAAGTATGCTTATTTGCTCTAAGCAATTTATGTCATCTAAAATAAACTGCGAGTAGCTGGTCTTTGGCTTTCTCAGTGTTTCCAACTTGAAATTGTCCACCATAGGGCAAGAAATATTTAGGTGTAATTACAAATGCTGCATTGCACAGACACACTCTAATAGGCTGTATGTTTATATTGTCTGCTTTCGAGTGAATACCAGCGATTTGACATTTCATAAAACCAATTTCATGATTAAATAAAAATAATGTTGCCTGGCTCTACTGAGTTTTAGATTTGTTGATGCCAAATAGTTTCAAAAATCAAAAGTGTGTGATTAAAGGCTTATGAAAGGAGACAGCTATCCCTTAGGTGTATGCATCACATCCAATATTCGGGTCTGCGCAGAAAGGACATGCAGATAGACACAATAGAGGGTCTTGAACAGTTTGATATCAATGATTTCACTATAGTCAGGAATCCCACAAAATTTTTCAAAACTGTCGTGCAAAGGCTAAAAACAGCAAAAAATGTGTACATCGCATGTTTGTTCATGGGGCACAGTGGAAAAGCAGCTCACGTTGTGGACATCCTTGAATCAAGAATTAAAAACGGAAGAAACACAGTCATATGCCTTGATAAGGTTCAGCACCTGAGGTTTGGCGACTTCATCAAAGACATGAAAAGGAGAGAAATCTACGACAAGCTGCACTTTATTGACAGCAACCCCATTCCACTTCTGCCAAATGTCATAAAAGAGGCCCTGTCGGTGTTCCACGATAAGGTTTTTATATTTGATGACGAAGTGTGCATTACCGGTGCTAACTTGCATGATTTTTATTTTACGAGACGAATGGATCGATACTATCTAATAAAACACAAGGCACTTTCTGACTATATTGTAAAAAATTTATTTGGAAAAGTACTGTCGGAAAAGAACACCCCCAGCATCAAAAAAGACAAAAACGGACATCCGCCGTTGGACTCTACAATCACAAGCAGAGATGATTTTCTGGATCTATTTAGGCCGGAAACAGCCCCATTCACGAAGATTATCCACTATTCTCATTCGAAAGAGCTCCAGATCTTAAAGGCTGTGCTTTCGCTAGGTTTTGAAAAGATCTACATTTCAACCCCGTACTTAAACTTTCCAAGCCATTACATCAAACTACTCAAAACATGCTGCTGCACAATCTTCACGGTTAACCCAAAATGCAACACATTTACCAACTTTGGATGGTTTGGGCGAGTATTAACAGATATCTATTCATACAGTACATTTAAGACTAGCCAATGTCTGCCACGGTCAAAAATATTTGAGTTTAGCCGAGAGGGCTACAGCTTCCATGCCAAAGGGATCTGGTGTATAAATGATGATTTTGGGATAACAGTTATAGGCTCATCAAACTATAACAGAAGAAGCCACAACAGAGATCACGAGTCAGGATGGCTGATGGTTTCAAACAACAAAAGAACCATTAGGAAGTGGATGGGTGAAATTGAAAGTTTCCGTAAAAACAGCGTCTACCTGAGTAAGCATGGGCTGCTGCGTAGAGAGTTTATGCTAATTTCGATACTGCTCTTTTACATACTTAATAAATTCCTATGATATTACAAGAATGGCATGGTATAGTTCAATTGGCTATCAACCATCATTAAAGCTTTTTAATCCACTAAGCAAGCATTTTGTCTAAATAATCTTTATCAAGTACTGTACCATCATGCCTGTAGCTAGCTATTCTCTGATTTCTCATGCATGCTATTTTGCCACAAACCGGTTGATTGGCTCCTGAAGATCGCTAAGTAAAACTTCAAGGCAGTGGCCCATATATTCATTTTTAAGACTGAATAGCTCATAGAAAACCACATACTTCGGATGTGCTGACAACAGCCCGTCCCTCGGGTGGATATAGCATTCAACGTCGCCAAAGATTGTTTTATAGCCATTTTCAGATATCTTAGCAGCCTTCATAAAAAATCCTGTGCAAAATGCCCTCTCAATACTCAAGCTTGTATCCGAGCAGTGTGGAAATAGCCTCAGAATTTGTGCTCTGACATTGAGTATTTGGACCATTGTTTTGATATTAAGAAAGTTTTTTCTTAAAAACCCAAACGAAAATTTTGACTGTTCCCAGCTATAAAATATTACAAGAAATGAGTAAAAGTCGCCCTTTGGGTGTGAAAAGTACGACCTCGCAGACTTGTAGCGCCTATATTCTGGATGATCCGACCTTAGTTCAAGAAATGGTGTCTGGTACTCGAGAAATGCTGATATCGTGGCAACTGCATTCAGACAGCCAATTCTCTTGGCTGCAACAAGACTGATTGCAGTTTCAGGCTCCAGAGGAATATTTGCAAGCTCTCTCCCAAAGTCTGTGATCACTCCGTTCTTATCAATCGCTCGTATATAATACAAAAACAATTCTGCTTGATTTATACTCTCCAGTGACGGCGCATCAATAAAATCAAAATTTTCAACATCAGTGATTCCAAGGCTTTTCATAGACAGAACTGTTGAATGCAGCTTAGACCTGAGAATTTCAGGCATAGGATTGTCTGCCATCTGCAAATACCTGCTATAGCTGTAGATTCTAAACACCTTTCCGGGCTGTGTTCTTCCAGCCCTGCCGGCCCTTTGCTTAGCTTGTGCCTTTGAGATTTCGATCAGATCGAGAGAATCAATGGCATTGCAGGCATAGTACCTCTTGGCCTTAAACACTCCACTGTCGACCACAAACTTTATGTTTTCGATAGTGATCGATGTCTCGGCAATGTTTGTGCTCAATATTATCTTTCTGGCACTATGCTGGAATACTAAATCCTGCTCCTCAGGTGGCATGGTTGAAAAAAGTTTTAGAATAACCACATCGGCACCTGAGAGCTTGCCGGAAAGTATAAAATGTGCACGCTCAATCTCGTCCTGGCCAGTTAAAAACACAAGAACGTCTCCGTCCCTTTCTCGTTCAATGATCGCCTGTGCTGTTCTTATACACACTGAAAGATAGTCGTCGCAGTCGTACTTTAAATAAAAATACTCAATGTTGTATGATCTGTGCTTGATAGTAACCAATGGACATTGGAAGTACTCAACAAACCTTTCTGTGTTGAGCGTGGCACTCATTATTAATAGCCTAGTCCTGGCCTTCTCGCTTTGCAAAGCCCTCTTGATGAATCCAAGCAGAAAGTCAATATTCACTGTTCTCTCATGTGCCTCGTCAATCACAATCAAATCGTATCCCGCTATTTTCTTCATATTTTTCTTTTTTCTATGGCTGTGCATAAGCCTCACCTGCTTTGAATATATTTCTTTGATTAAAACCCCATCAGTTGCAAACTTGAGTCTTGTTTTTGAAGAGGTTTTGTCATCAAACCTAACTGTGTATCCGACTTTAGACCCAAGATCACATCCTACATCACCAGCTACTTTTCTAGCTACACTGATGGCTGCAAGCCTCCTTGGCTGTGTGCAAACAATTTTGCGGTACTCATCCATCAGCATTCTTGGAATTTTAGTTGTCTTCCCACATCCAGTATTACCCTGCACAATTACCACTCTACTGTTTTTCAATGCACTCTTGATTTCACCAATCTTGTCGTCGATTGTCTCTTCGATTTGAGTATCATCGGCTATTTCGACAATGTGCTCAAACTCATCAATCCCCAATGGACCAGCGCAGATGTCTGCTGCATTTTCGGGCATGTCTTCAACATTTTCGCTTTTTGAAAAGTATCTCTTGAACCTGTCAGCCTCTTCAACTTCACATTTTATAGTGTCTAATTTTGTCAGTTCCTTCACAAGATCATCCATCTCCTTTAATTTCACCGGATCATCTGAATAGCTTTCAACCGTCTTCTTTAGTTTATGTTTAATCCTTTTCTTTAATTTATCTTTCTTTCCATATGTAGTTTTCTTTGTTTTATTCTTGGTCATTCACTTTGAAATTTGCAGGATAGCAAATAATGGAGTAGAGACTATGAATGCATTAAAAGATCACATAAAACACAAGCAGACCAAAAAGAAGTACTAATCCAAAACTCCAACGGATCCAAATCAGAATTCACAGAATTAATTTATTAGACCAAGATGCCACAGAATGCCACAGAATGCCAGTCCTAACCACATCGTGCCTGTACGTTGTTGAGATGTCGGGCGAGTTAATCGATGCTTTTTGCAAGCATGTGTCCAATGAGAGCTGGTTTGAGTTGCTGAAGCAGCACTTTACCAAAAGGATCGCATAGTTATGCAAGTATTATTGGCTACATTCTTTTCTTAATGCCTTCCTCGATTCTCTCTATCGGAACTATCTCTATAGACTCTGGAGACTTTGAATCATAGTACACATCGAGGCCTTTAATAACATCAATGACATAGCGGTAAAGACCTGCATCAATGTTCTTAGGCAGAAAATCAGCATCCTTGATCAGCTTGAATAGCTTTAAGTTGAACAATGCCCACTCTAGAGCCTTAGCAACCTGGCTACAGTTATATTTCCCAGCTTGCGAGTGAATATGCTCCGTAAACTTGATTACAAACTTGAGCATATTCAGATATACTTTCATATCACTCTTGCTCATTTGGGCTTGTATTCTGAGATAGCAGAACAGAGACTCCAGGTACAACTGAACTGAATCTTTGCTGTTCGCAGCATCAGCCTCTGATTTGAGCAACTTCGCCTGGACATGTAAAGGCTCTAATGGCCCATGAAATGAGTCTCGGGCAGAAATAAAAGATCCATATCCCTCTGGAGAAACCACGGGAGATGCGTATTCCTTGCTTGCACGCAGTTTCTCGATTTTTTTTGAGAGATTGCCATCATGCTTATTCTCCATCACCAACTTCCGGGGTTGAGAAAACTAAATTTGCTTTCCTTCTAGAACAATATGGGAAAATACAAAATTTTAAAAGCAAAGCTTATGAAATTGGATATTGAATTGACACAGAAACGTACGAGTACCAACGTGTGCCAAGTAAAACCTGCAAGTACTATTCTTTATTCTTTGGAACTCAGAAACTTATACGCCTGAAGTATTATACTTTGAATATACGGTGATCCTCTGTTTTTTACAGAATTGGCACTGTACATCTTCGTGAATTTTGACTCTAGCTCCTTGCTTTTGAACTGAGCACCAAGTCCCAGAATTTTAGCCGCTTCAGAACGCGTCATCCGATTGGGAAAGAGAATTTCCTGGATGGTTTTGGCTGCTGCTGACTTAAAGGCCTTCGCTAGTCCAACAAGCATCTTTATTGGCATCTGGATGGCTGGGGGATGTTCTGAATCGTAGAGACTAACTAGGCAAAAGGTTGTTGAAATAAATAAGCTTGTTTATTTAAAATGATAGTAAAGATCTGGCAGCAATAGGCCTCAAGAAGGCAAAGGATTTTTGCTTATATCTCATAGCAGTCACAGATATCCTTTTTATATTGCTTGGCAAACAAGTGATCAAAAGTGTAATGGTTAAAGAAACTGCATGCAGAATCAAATGGATAGGTAGTGGTTGGATGGTATGTAACGAGGTGGTCTTCCTCTATGTCACTTTCTATTGGCAGGTTTCTGGTGGAGTATTTGTTGGCAATACTTTTTAGTTTGGCAATTCTACCGTTGTGATCCTGACTTCTGGCAACTTTAAGAATTTCAGCTTTCTCAGGCAAAAAACACCATCCAAAAACTATGAAGTTTGTAGCATCTGAGATGCAAACACTATTATCGCCGATGTTCAGGCAGTACTCGTTTGGATATCCGTCTCTTTTTCTAACAGCATTCCGAAGATCAAGCGTGTCTAAGATGCTTTCGTTTGTGGAAACCTCATTGAAAAAGATCGAAAAAGCCTCAAATGCCTTAAAACTGATCAATTTTGTGTTGTGTCCTAACAGTTGGATGTAGTTTTGAATATTGAAAAACAGCTTGCAATTGACGATGATATTAAGTTGCTTAGGTATTAGCCCAGGCCCCGAGCTAAACAACAGGTCTCTTGCGAGCACTGGTCTATTTTTGATATATTCGTAAACCTCTTCAGATTGAAAGCTGGCATCTTCTTCTATCCGCTTTTTGATGCTTTGGTCCAAAAAATCAATACTAAACGAGTTAAGGTATCCTAGAACTGAATATCTCGTGGTTGTACGCTTGAAATACTTCTGTAGGTATTTTCTACGAATAAACTCCTCCCTAACATTGAGCAGGGCTGCTATGTCAAAGACACAGGCTACTATGTTCCTATTTTTTGCGGTTTTTAATGCTTTGATCAAGGGCTTTATGTATATGGTATGGTCGTCTTCTGTCTTTAGAAACTCCTTGGCAGCAGACACAAACGAATGAAAATTCAGACGGATCTCTGATTTCTGTGTTCATCTTGTGTATTTTTAGCAGATACTCTTTCATTAGGCCATGGGTTGAAAATTTTTTTACCCCAATGCCAGTTTTAGCACTGTGCGAAAAAGGCCTGATAGTTGATGTTTTTGGTGAGCATCCTGTGATATTTAAGTGCCACGTGTTCGAGTGCAGAAAAGACTGCCTGGTCACGTATTTTTGCAATACTCTCAAGTTTATTAATCTTACAGATCTGAGTGTACAAAAGGAAATAGGAGATTTCTGGTGTCTCAGTAATGCAGCTATCGGAAAATGGTAGACATCTGGGGATTTTGCTGCACAATAAGGACCTGCACGTATTCAAAAATGCCGTGGAGATCAGTGTGGTTCAGAATGTTGAGTTGTTTAGTATATCAGACAGTTTTTACAGCATTACAACAAAGGAGGAGACTAAGGTATTTAGCTTTGAAGAAAACACTGCGGTTTTTGAGTTTAAGTGTGCCGCAAAGTTCTTATTTTCCTTCAGCTCGCTTATCATCATGGTTACTGAAAAATTAGAATGCCAAAAAATACTTGTTTTTAGAAACAACAAAGCCCATGCTATTTTATCGTTGCCCAATATCTACAGAGCAGTGGTTGAGAGTACAGAGAGCGAGAACCAATTTCTTCTACTTGTTGATACGGAGTACACAAAGAATAGCTACTATGCAGAGTCCTCTCTGTTTCTGTTGTCTTTTGCAGATGCCGATCAGGTGGCTGCATCGTGTGCCAAGAATGAGGGCTCCACAGACATATGCATCCCTGAATTGACAACAAGGTCAGAAGATTTTGTCGTCATTCAATATAGAGGCTTGAACAAAATACACAAGTCTGGATTTTTAAAAGATTCGTTCTATGTGTGCTTTGGCGACCAACCGGCATTGCTGTTCCAATTTGATCTAAAAGGCAAACTACAGAAGAAGTATCCAAAATCAGTTAGAAACACAGCCATTTTCAACTCTAGGGAAAATAGACTCATAAATGCAGGTCTTGGCAACCTTCCGGGAACTATTGAGGTGTATTGCAACAGTGAATGCACGTGCTCCTTTGAAATGCTGGGTGCGTCTATTGTTTCGTGGCTAAATAACGACAGCTATTTTTTGGTTGCTATTACAAACTACTTCAAATCTCAAAACAAAATAGTGATATATGATTATTATGGCAATGCTCTCGAGGAAATGGAATGCAAATCTCTCATAGATGTCCGTGTGTATGGCCAGATAGAAAAGGAAGCAGCAGTGGATCCGCCAAAAGAAGCGGTGAAGATAAAGCCTGTATCTGCATATGTGCCTCCACACTTGCAGAACAAGATTGTTGAGTCAGCCAAGGCTAAGGAGCCTGCAAAGAAAGCGACGAGAACCAAGCGACGAGATAAAGAAGCCGTTGAGAAAGAGCTAAGCGAGTGTTTGAAGTTGAGAGAAAGACTTAGAAACGGCGAGGAGCTATCGCTAGAAGAGGAAAACAAGATATTCAAAATTAAGAGCCTTGAAGAGGAACTCAAGGTGCTATCGAGCAATTAAATTTATTAACATATCTAGTATAATTCACCAATGCATCTTTTGGTGGATTGGCCAGAAAGCGTACACACCAATCTTGGTAACGCTTCCTTTGGCGCACAGGAAAAGGCCTAGCCAGTGGCTTTTAACAGCAAAACTCGTGTTTCTTTGTTCTGTTTCCTCTTGAAAACACTCTTTTAAAATTTATTTTTCCCATTCCCTACAATGGCACAGGAACTAAATGTGGATGCGATCATTGAGAAGCTACGTGCTGTGCACCGCAAAAAAGACAAAACCGTAAATTTGAGCGAGCAAGAAGTAATACAGCTCTGTAAAGAATCGCAGGGTATTTTTGAGCGACAGTCTGTCCTGCTTGAGATTAAGGCTCCTGTTAAAATATGTGGAGACATCCATGGACAGTACGGAGATCTTCTCTCATTATTTGAGTTCGGCGGGTTTCCGCCAGAATCCAACTATCTTTTTCTGGGGGACTACGTTGACAGGGGAAGACAAAGCCTTGAATGCATCTGTCTACTTCTAGCATACAAAATCAAATATCCAAACAATTTTTTCTTATTAAGAGGAAACCACGAGTGCGCAAGTATTAACAGGATCTACGGATTCTATGATGAATGCAAAAGACGATATTCCATCAACCTCTGGAAGATATTTACAGAATGCTTTGACTGGTTGCCAATAGCAGCATTGATTGATAGACGTATTCTGTGCATGCACGGTGGAATATCACCTGATTTAAAGAGCCTGGATCAAATAAGGAGGATAAAGAGGCCAACGGATGTACCGGACAAAGGACTGCTGTGTGATCTGCTATGGAGCGATCCCGAGAAGAACATAGTTGGGTGGGGAGAGAATGATCGCGGTGTTTCTGTGACGTTTGGTGCAGACGTTGTTGAAGACTTTCTTGAAATGGTCAATATTGATTTGATTTGTCGTGCACACCAGGTCGTTGAGGATGGATATGAATTTTTTGCAGACAAGGGTCTTGTGACGCTATTCAGCGCACCCAACTACTGTGGAGAGTTTGAGAACTCCGGTGTTATAATGAACGTAGATGAAAGGCTGTGCTGCAGTTTTCAGGTTTTAAAGCCGTCTGACCAGAGCGACACTAAGAAACAAAAGTTTTCAGTATCCCAAAGCAAGAAATAAAGATTTTCATATTTAGGCATCTATGGTTTATTCTTGAGAGCCTGTGGACAGTCTTACGTTCCAGTCATATTCTGTGCCAGGATTTTTGATGTGTGGCTATAGCGTGAGCATCCAAAGCCTTTCCTTATCATGGGTGTTTTAGTACCGCCGAATATGCGATGATTGTTCAATAGACTTGGATATATTCTACACTCCAATAAACATATGTTGAGTGGCCATATTGTTTACTGCTGATATTGTGGCTAAAAATTTGCTCCATGCTTTGCAAAAAGTCGTCTGGGAAGTTTTGTTGTGAAAAGACTCAGAAGCACAGAATGGGTTTCCATACCTTATCGACGAAAGCTCCAAAGAGTGTAGGTAAACTGTGCCCAAGAAATAGCCGACTTGACTCGAGGAGCTTTCAGGCCAAAGATCCCGGGCTGGTTTCGCTTGTGTTTGAAATTGACAATGCAAAACAGAAGCTGTGCATTCCCAAGCACTTAAAGAGGAAAGAATGGTGTATTTCCTTGGATAAAACAAGGTTTTGTGAAATATTGCTAAATATACTCACTGGCCAGCCGAGCAGTGGGAATGGAAAATCTCCACGGCTTGACTTACCTTTTGAGCAAGCGCAAAATTCCGGCAATTTGGCTGACAATTCCTGCTGTTTATTTGACATTCGAGCAGATTCTCCAAGCTCAGCCTCAGATTTAAATAATGATAAGGCTGAACAACCAAGTAAGAAATTAAGAAGCAATTCTGGACAGGCAACAAGTGCATCGAGTGAGTATGGCAGCGATTCTGGAGGGACGTTATTCACAAAGGATGATGCCAATTTTATTTTTGATATGCAGCAGGATGGGCTGAATCCATTACACACCAATTATTCCGC